GGGCACACAGAATGTGTCGCGTGAGGTAACGGTACGTCAATGTGTCACGTGAGGTAACGGTCACGCCAATGATGGACACACAGAATGTGTCGCGTGAGGTAACGCTACGTCAGTGTGTCACGTGAGGTAACGGTCACGTCAATGTGTCACGTGAGGTAACGGTCATGTCAAAGGTGGGCACACAGAATGTGTCGCGTGAGGTAACGGTACGTCAATGTGTCACGTGAGGTAACGGTCACGCCAATGATGGGCACACAGAATGTGTCGCGTGAGGTAACGGTACGTCAATGTGTCATGTGAGGTAACTGTCACGTCAATGTGTCGCGTGAGGTAACGGTACGTCAATGTGTCACGCGAGGTAACGGTCACGCCAATGGTGGGCACACAGAATGTGTCGCTTGAGGTAACGCTACGTCAATGTGTCACGTGAGGTAACGGTCACGCCAATGGTGGGCACACAGAATGTGTCGCTTGAGGTAACGCTACGTCAATGTGTCACGTGAGGTAACGGTCACGTCAATGGTGGGCACACAGAACGTGATACATGTACGGAGCAATGGCGACAGGTCAGTGGGTTAGGGCGGCTTGCCCACAGCATCAGGGGCAGATAACTTTTGGCGATTCTCGGGGCAGTGGGAGATTGCTATGGCTATCTTTAGCATGTGTGTGCCAGTAGGCTGGCAGTAATTGTCCTTCCCTTGTTGGGATGCTTAACTCTTTGAGGTTGTTGTAGGAACCCGTGAGTACAATATGTACCTACAGCAAGCACTTTGAGCATCTGAGGAGTGAAGGATGGGATTCTTATCACACGCACGTGCAATGTTTCTCTGGTTGTATAATACATGTAATCAACATGGCCTCACATCATGTATACATACACATGTCTCTGGGATCAGGACATCATGTATACATACACGTGTCTCTGGGATCAGGACATCATGTATACATACACATGTCTCTGGGATCAGGACATCATGTATACATACACATGTCTCTGGGATCAGGACATCACCTCACATCATGTATACATACACGTGTCTCTGAGATCAGAACATCATGTATACATACACGTGTCTCTGGGATCAGAACATCACCTCACATCATGTATACATACACGTGTCTCTGGGATCAGAACATCACCTCCAGGTTCATAAAAAAAGAGTAGGTTAAACTGTCTGAAATTATGCGTAACTTTTATGAAGTGGATGGAAAGTCTTGCAGAAGTAGCATTGCCTCTGTAAGACAGACAGACAGACAGACAGACAGACAGACAGACAGACAGACAGACAGACAGGCAGACAGACAGATAGACAGACAGACCCACCTACGACAAAGGAGACACAAGCCCCCAGATACCCGG